GAGGGTTATTATTTTATTGCAAGTGGGAGGGAGTAAAGTGGAAGAAAATTAGAAGAAGGGACTGAACTGGAAGTTGAAAAGGGGTCTAGGTACTTTTATAGAATTTGCCCAAATTTCTACCCCAAAAAAACAATAATAATAATAATAAAATAAAATAAATAAATTAGGAATAGGGGTCTCAAGTCTCAACCACCATTTTTCATCTCTTTAATAATAATAATGGTCTAATTTGTCAACCACCCCAATCACGTCATGTTCTCACTAAAATATTCAAACTCATCAATTATTTTCTCATGTTTCCCATTGACTTTTTTCTTTTCTAATAAAATATTTCAAAAAATCTTGTAAAATGAAAATTTTAATTATTTCTTCTACTAAAATATTTCACCAAGTCAGTCTCGTGGGATGAAAATTTAATTAAAAGTTTAAACATGTGGGAATCTAAATAATAACCATCAAGACCAAAATAACAATAGCAACAAGCAGTTTTACTATGAAGCCAACGGTTGGCTCCATAAGACCAACCTTCTATATACAACAAATAAACTTACTATATTAATAAAATTATATTAACGTTATTTATGTACTCATAGAATACGGTGTGTTAACTTGTTGTATATAGAAAATTGGCTCCACTATGAAGTCAACTGTTAGCTCCAGCAAAACCGATGCAATAAGAGCGTCTTCTACATGACGAAGAGGGGTTAGCGCAGTGGCGGGTACCTTCGCTCAGCGTGTACCATGTCCCGAGTTCGAGTCATCCGGGGAGAATTGGGGGACCAGTATTGATCTCCCTTTAAAAAAACAAAAAAAGCGTCTTCTACATGGATATAAAAACTATTTTTATTTTCGTTCAATAGCAACAAGAGTTTATTCATATAGATATCATTTTTATTTTTTTTATTTTTTTATTTTTTTATTTTTATTTTTATTTTTTTTTTTGCATATCTTAAGATCGTTGTGTTACATTGAAATTACAAAATTATTTTTTACTTTATAATTTTCATCAATTCAATAGAGTAAGTATATTAATTTAGTTTTTACCTTTGAAATCCTAAACTCAAAGGTTACATAGTAATATTAACTGCAATATAATTTTTTTATATAGAAATAACACAAATTATTTTCTCTCTTGTTGTTGTTTTCTTTTTATGTCTCATTAAATAAACCCAATTGCAAAGTTCTTTTACCACCTTTACTTGTATACAAAACCTTATACTATAAAGCAATGTTATAAATACCGTATTGTATCAAGATTCAGTGATATACTAATATAATACACATGTATTACACGAGTGCTTATTTAAATATTTATATTTAAAATTAAAAATAATTGTTTTCAAATATTTTTGGAAAAGTATAGTATTGTTATATTTAGAATGAATCACATTACTTATGTGATTTATCATCTTATAGTATAGCATTTTTTAACTTATATCATATAACTATTTTATAGTTAAATTAATTTAAATAATATTATTGCTTTCAATTAATATTAACTGGTAATTTAATTTCTATTATAAAGATAAGTATATTTATTTGTTTATTTTGTGTGTACAATATTGATGTCAAATCGAAACTTATCACGACATGATCAATGTGATATATTATTACTTCAAATAAATATTTCTTTTACTTATTTTAAAAAAAACATTTATTTGAAGTAATAATACACTACAGAAAAATGATGAAATTCAACGGAAATTATTCTAATAGAATTATTCCAACAGATATTTCAATACTATTATTTTCATTGGAATTTTTCAATGGATTCGAACAGAAATTCCAACAGAAATTCCAACAAAAATATTCCGTTGGAATGAGTTTTCCATTGGAATTTCTGTTGGATGTTGACGATTCCAACGGTGGATTTTCCAACGGGGGTGGAGATAAAAATTCCAACGAAAATTCTTACGGTAAAAAGCCGTTGGAAATATAGCCGTTGAAATCATCAAATTTCATGTAAAATTCCAATGGAATATTTCCGCTGAAATTTTCGTTGGAACCATTCCAAAGGAAGCTATACCGCTGGAATATCCGTTGGAATATATTGTCATAGGATATTTCGTTGGAATATAACAATTTCTTTGTTGTGAATATATCACACTAACCATGTCTCTATAAGTAAAAGAAATATTTATAATAATTGATGTGTCAGTTAAATAAGAAAAGAAAATGTGGTATATGGTAAGGCAGGAAAATGAAACATAAAATAGTTTATGGTAACTAACTGTAGAAGAAAATAAGGAAAAATCAATCATGGATTTAACATGAATATTATAGATATTTAATGAAATCCAAGATTAATTTTTTGTATAAAAAATATTAATTAATATCCAAGTCTTACTCCGTAGCATGATATTTTGCCACATAGGATTTCAAAACATAAAAGTCTGCTACTTAGGCTCAACGCGTTTGGTAATTCTATATAGGGATGATTAATTGGTAGCCTGACTAGAACAAAAACATTCGCTTCGCTTTCGCTTCGTTTTTTTGGTCTTCAACTCGACAACAACTCCTGTCCTCAATCTGCTTGGTCGATCTATTGGCTACAATTCCCTATCCTATGGAGGGCACCTCCCATAACTCTGTCTGGATAAAGATGCATCAAAGGTGTACTCCAGAGGTGTAGCCCGCCTGTTACCTGACAGAGGGTGATGCAAAACCAGGCATACGTATTTCATTCAATTTCTGTAAATGCACTTGTTTTCATTTCCTTTAGGGTTAATTGCCAATTAAACCTTGACCTTTTCACTTTTGGCAATTTAATCCAAACTTCTAGATAAATGCAAAATAATCTCAGCCTTGTATTACTTTTGCAAAATGGATTTAAAACCCGTCGGACGGCAAAAAGGTGCCAGCGTGTCCGGCTGGTTTTATCTACGTGTATTTTTGAGTTTACTGAGTAAGTTTAAGTGAAATACGTAGATTTTCTAAAAAAATGGTATAAAAACGATTCCCCTCCCCAATTTCACAAATTCCCCAAATCGATTTTCTGAAAAATCCTAACTTTTCAAAGAAGATAAAATCGTTGTTGACAACAAAAATCAAACCCTACTCTGAAATCTTCTCTTTGTATCAAGAATACGCAACGAATTGGTCCCAATTGCATGAGAGTTTGTGTTTCTGCGTTTGAGATTCCTTCTGAGGGTGCGTTCGACATTTCTTATATGTCGGGAAAATGACAGACAGGTGCGACGAATTTCTTATATTCTTTATTTCTTATTGTCTGTGTTTTGTACCCGAGGTAGTGCGACAAATTTGGAATATTGTGTGTTTTTTATTTTCTTTGTCATGTGGTTTGTGCATTTTTTATTTCGAGATTGTGGTTTATGTTCTGTTTTTGAGAGTGTGATCTTACATTTAGGGTTTGTTTAGAAATTCGATTTATTATTGGAATTTAAGTGTTTTTTTTGTGAAATTAAGGTTCTTTTGGGAGAAATTAGGGTTTTTCATACAAATTAGGGTATTTTGGGGGAAAC